CCGCTGCCTGGGGGCGGCTTTGCTCCGGGGCAAACGAGCAAAGCTGCCCAGGCAGTGGGACTCCCGCCGCCTGGGTGGCTTTGCTCGGGTGTCCCTGGTCTGCTGGGGGGGGTCGAGAAGCTTTTCTCGCCCCGGAGGACACGGGTGGCGACCCGCCGCCCACGAGCTCCGGGGCGAGAAAAGCCCCGTTCGTAAGTGCGGATCCGACATAAGTTGGATCCGCGTAAGTCGGGGACTGCCTGTACTGCAAAATATTAGACATGCCAAAAAGTTTTTTTTTTTAAAGAAAAGGAATAAACACAAATTAGTTTCCCTGCTTCTCAGACATTATGCTTAGCAATATACTAAATACCATGTCTCTGTGGGTAAGAAGAAAGAGTTCAGTTCTTACCTCAGTAGCAGTATTCCATTTTTTCAAAAAAACATGCTTTCAGGGAAAGAATGTGATGATGCTGAATAGTTAACAGTAAATTCAGGGTTTTTTCCCAAAACTGAGAGAGACAATGGCACATTTTCAATGTTTGAATAGAGTATAAGTCATATTAGAAAATAAAGATGTGATGGATGGGAGGAGTGCTGTCCCGTTCTAAACATCCCAGCATTCAGTACCTAAAGGGTTAAACCCAGGTAGCTAAGAAATATTGGCAGAGAGCCAATAGAACCAATGGGAAGAAAGTGTTGAGATTTGAAAGGAAATCTCTTTGCTGCTTTTCTTTGTGTATTTTTTGAAACAGGAGCTAGGGCAGGGAGGAAGATGAATTGAATTGTCAAGGTTGTTATCCACTTTGACACTTCGAATGCAGAAAATGACGCTCGCAAGACACCTTAAAATACGGTGCCTCTAAATTTAAAAATCCCCCAAATCACAGATTCCCTGTCCTTGGGAGGTATGCTGCCACCACCCAAGTGGGGAAAAAAACACAAAAACCCTTTCTTCTTGAACCCAGGAGGAGTCACTTGGGAATTTCTTCCAGAGGGGTATCCCAAGCTCTTTTACCACAAGATAGCTTGGAAATAAAATAAAGAAAACAAATGGGAATCTCTGATAGCTGACCTGTCTGTTTTAGGCATGCATGCAGACTTCCTATTACCTTCCAAGACTCAAGAATCAGATCTTAAAAAATATTATTTTTATTAACAAAACAAAAAATATACTCTGTAAAGCATACTTGGTTGCTAGGTGTTATAGAGCAACTGAGAAAAAAATATTAAAGTACAGAGAATTACTTCTGTGGGATTCAGCTTTAAGTACAGTATATTGGGGGTGGGGGAGGACATGAACTCAGTACAGAGGAGTGTAACCAAACAACAAAACAAAGAAAATAATTTGATCGCATCTAAATAATTCCCTATCACTTACATATCCATATCTTCAAGGTCCAGTCAATTTCTAGTCATGGGTATTGCTTTTCTGGGCATGAATATCCCTGTGATTCGATTAATCTTTTTCCTACAGCTCCTGTTTTTAAAAACCCACAAAGAAAAGCAGCAAGCAGATTTCCTTTCAATTCAAATCTCAATGATTTCTTCCCATTGGTTCTCCAGGCTCCCTGTCAATATTTCCTAGGTACCTGGGTTTAACCCTTTACTTATTGAATGCTGGGATGTTTAGAGAAAGACGCCATTCCTCCCATCCATCAAAAAAGGGTACATAAAGTATACATAAATATTTGTACATATTTTGTATACAATATACAGTCACTGTCAGTAAAGTACAAAGTTGAGTGGAGTCCTATGCCTCTCTTTCTGGTCATATTTCTGTATTTTTCACTACAATCTTCATCTATTTCTGCATTAGGACTTGGAACAAGGAGCCGGAAACAAGAATCAGATATGCAGAGAAATCTTGCTAGAAGCCTTTCTGAAGGAAATGTAACATTGAGTATGAAATCAAGGACCTCAAAAAACCTTTTAATTTGTGTTTCTAAGAAAAAGTAAGTTGTAGGTTTGAGGATTCATCCTAATTTCAGACAAGATTGAAAGCATGCAAGTAAAAGATGGACTTTGATTTTTCCTGCTGCAGGAAAGTCTGAGGATAAGTCCGAGACTTATCAAACCATGTCCGTCACTGTACTACGCAATTCTAGAATGATCATTCACCTTTCCAGTGAGGATTTCATTAAAATATATTTTTGCATTCTATCTTCCAATAAACACATACAGACTTCTACTACTGTGTTTTAGCAAGAGAATAGAAATGAGTCATTGTGGGGAGACAGTGATGTTTCTCTAACTCTTGCACACATATTAATAAATTAATACTTTGCAGTACTCTAACTCGTCAGGAGCCAATGTTGTCATCTTTTTAAAGAAATCCTTTTTTTATGTCACTTACAAATTCTTATTCTTTATTATGATACACCAAATGTTTAGGTAATTAGAACATTGAGATTATTGCTTTTATGCTTTTCACTGAAATTTTCTACTATTAAACTTACAAGTAAATGAAATAGTCCCTTATGTTAATACATTCATACTTTAAGCATTAGGATGTCAATTTGTTCTAAAATATTAATGTGCTAACACAGGGTGCTAGCACCAACGTGGTACCAGGAAATAGGAAAAATGTATAATAGGTTTTGTTTTTTTTTAAATGGTAGCTATAATATTTTGAGCTCAGACTTTTAATCTGACAGTTTTTAATTTGTTGCTTAACCTAATTGCTTGAACAACATAAAGGTAAATGCTCCTTTGTATTTTGATGTTTTATAGTTTTTCAAAGCTCTAATTTTGTTGTAAATGCGTCAATTTCGGTAATTGTTCTGAATAAAGTTTTTATAGCTATAAACAAAAGGAAGAAATGTCATGTGAATTTAAAGTTTAGAAAAAAATGAATTTTGCTGTGGCTACCTCTTCTAAACTAAAGATTATCTTAATGAACATTTGTTTTCCTGGTAGTGTGTTAATAATTTTAGACTATGCTGGCCATTTTGTCATATGCCTTAATCACGTTAGCAAGAATTATTTAATCTAGGATCATGACCTTGTATGTCTCTGCAAACATAACATTAGGCAAGCGGTGACCCAGTCCTTTTGGTATGACCTATTGACATCAATAGTGAAGTTCTGCTTTTGATTGAGGGACTCTGGGATTTATCCTGTGGTCTCTGACACAGAGAGCTTCCATTCCAAGAAACCAAGAAGCATATGTAGGGGGGAAAGGGAGAAGATGACTATCAAACACTTTTATAAATGTCTACATTTTTTTATATATATTTTAAGCAAGTAAACATAATCTTTCCCCAACTGCCCCTCACAATGTCATAGTATGTGGATTGATTTATTATAGTCATGCAGAAATGCATCCTTGGAAGGGATTTTGAAAAAAGGGAACAATGTCAACTTTCATGGTTTAGTTCAGGGAAGTATGTTCGTAAAAGGATGAAACAAAGTTTTAGAGGTCGGTATTGCTGGTGCAAGCAGGATTCATAAAAGATGAGGAAGAGAGTTCGGAAGAAGCTTGAAGTTTAAGGGTTGAAGTTTGAACTGGATGTGATGGACAAAAGTAACATGAAGAAGCAGAAGAATTCAAAATGGGATGTGGGTCGATACATCAGTATCTTCATTCATCATTCTGATTGCTAGTAGCATATTAGAGAAAGGTAATGTGGGTGTCGGGGGACAGAAGCTGATGCAATCTGCAATGTCCCAAGGAGAAGGAAAATCAAAGATTGAAGATGGTATATGACCCTTTACCAATGCTAAGCCAGATGATGCTGGAGACCTATGCAAGAGCTCTTTTGGAAAGATTGGAAGGAAGCAAAAGCCTAGTTGAGAAGCAGGAGGACTATAAGGAGAGGAGTTGCACGCAATATTTGCAAATGACTAATTCTGAAGATTTGAAGTGAAGAGAAGCAGAGAGCTGGAACAGTAGATGGATATGGACCATAAGAGTCCCATGAGTCCATGATGACAGATTTGGCCAACATACCAAGTATGGACAAAATCATTTGTTTTGAAAAAATTCACTTATTTTTTATAGGTGGATCCAACAATGTGCCATTTAATAAAACTATCATTTTTATAATAATCTAAAAGAGAGTCTAATTTATGAACATGTTGGATACTTAAAATTGAATCTGTTGTCTTCTCTCTCATTTTTTCATATAGTATCTGTCATGAGAATTCAAATACCACAAGCAAACCTAACAACACAAATGACTCTTCTAAAATCTTTACTTTTCTCATTTTACAAAGATGCATTCAGATTTTACAATACTATGCTGTTCACTCCAGCTTTAGCATGCCAAAATAGAAAATATGATCTTCATAATTCAGAATAAATATGGAAAGAGGGCTTGGTGTTGACTTTTGGTTAAATAACATTAAATCTCTGTATGAACCCCCACTCATTCAGAATTAAAGTGGTCTTAATACAATTTATCTTAATTTACTTGTCCCAACTTGGTATCATCCTCAAACTTTAAGTGTATTTTTATGCCATTATCTAAATTATTGAAGATGTGGAACAGAATCAAACCTAGGACTGATCCCTGCAGGATTCCACTGCATGTTGTTCCAGCTTGCCTGGAAACGATTTTCCAACCAGTTATGTATCCATTATATAGTAGCTGTATCTTGCTTGTATTTCCCCAATTTGTTTATGAGAAGGTGATGAGAGATAATGACTTTAGCAAGGCTTTTGATAAGTTAAACCACATCTATTATTTTCCCCACATCCACAAAGCTTTGCTACCCTGTCAGAGAAAGCTATTAGATTGGTTTGATACACTTTGTACTTGACAAATCCATTTTGACTATTACTTATCACTTTATTTTCTAGGTGTTTGCAAATTAATTATTTTATTTGCTTCATTATCTTTCCATATTCTGAAAGATAATGGAGCAAATAACTACATTAAGTCCTGGCATTACAAGTCAGACAGGCGGGCGGGAGGGGTAGGTCTCCTACCCGCCAAGTCAGCTGTGACTCCAACAGTGTGAAAATGGGCCACTAACCTTCATGCAGAGCCGGGAGAAGCTCCAAAAGTGAGGAAAACACTGACCACTCTACTGTGGATAAATTTTATGGAACCATGTAGAATAAAGAAGAGAGACCTGTGAGGCCACAAATTTCCCCAAATCTTAAAGCATATTCTGAGTCTCCAGAGAGAGAGAGAGCAACACGGTGTCTAATCAGCCTTAGAATCCCTAGGGAAGGCAAGCTACAAAAGGCCTCACCAAAGCTACAGCAGAGCTACGTACCCAACGATGGCCATGCTCAGTGGAGCTGACAGACACTGGCAAGCCTGAGGAAGGCGTGGGGAGGACCCTGCTCCACTCCTCCAGAAGACGCAGGGCCAGGGGGTGGCCAGCCCTCAGCTCCTCCCAAATCGCTGGGCCCTGCTCAATTGCCCCCTTTGCACTCTCCTGTCGGCAGGTCTGGGCATGCTCTAAATATTAAGATCCAATCTCTAAGGAAAAGGATGGGGACCTAAACGTGGTACTAGACTAAGTGCAGTCATGGGCATTCTTCATCGAGTAGTGTCCCCAATGGGTGCTCCACTCGAGGTGCTGGGATCGTCCTGGCGCCGCAAACCGGAGGATCTTCAGTAGCAGTAGCCCCTCCACTGGACCGCGCATGCGTGACTATCTCGCGCCTCTCAGCTGAGCGCGGTCCGGCTAGTCAGTTTCCTTTCAAGCGGCCGCAGACGGAGTTACCCTAGGCTCCCTCTCCTCTCTGAGGAGTGAGGAAAATTAGTTAGTTTAGCCCTTCCTTCTGTTTTAGTTGTTAATATTAACATAGTGGTAGTTAGTAGTAGTTCTTAGTTTTAAAAAAAAAAAAAGTTTTTGCCTGTACGGTCTGTCAGGCTTCACGTCGTGATAAGGATGCCAGGATCACCTGGTTTTAAAAAGTGCACAGAGTGCCAAGATGCCATGCCGGTATCAGATGGACACTCCCGCTGCATAAAATGCCTCGGGGATGGACATATTCTCCTGAAGTGCACTCACTGTGCCAAATTGACAGCTCGAGCCAGGAGGGATCGAGAGCTCCGACTTAGAGTCCTCCTATTCAACAAAGCCCTCCAGGCTCCGGACACGTCAGCCCCGCACCCGGCTGGGCAGCTTGATGACCGGGTGGCTCACGACAGTCCCCGCGCCATGCCAAGCAGAGTAAGCAGCGGGGACAGACCAGGAACCTCTGGCCATTCGCCGAGGCTTCCTGTGGATAGAGCGGGCAAGGGCCGAAGCTCCTCCGTCCCGGTCAGAGCCCACCGCAAGGAGTTGGTTCCGGCACCGGGGGGTCTCAAGAGTGGACTTGGTACTGGCAACGGATAAAACCGCCGCTCTAGGCTCACTGACGGACGCCCCGGCACCGGCTTTTCCTGCGCATGCGCAAATGGTTGTGGCCGCAGAAGCGGCTATGCCGGTGTCTTCCCCAGCTGTTGCTGCGGCTTCTCCTCCGGCGCCGGAGTCAGCGGCACCGGGATTGAGGCCGTAGGAGGGTGCCTCTGCCTCACATCCGGCGGCACCGACGTTGCCCGCATCGAACCTGCAGCCTACGGCATCGGGTCGGCTAATGAACAGCCAGGCTGCGGGGATCACTTCATCATCCCCTAGTCCTTTATACTCTGCACCACTGCCTGCTTCCGACCCCGTGGTGCCGACAAAAGCACAACACAAGTCAGCGCAGCTCCGGACACCGTCTTTAACACCCGACCGTGCAATGTTTTCACCGGGACCGGTGTCTCCTAGATCATCTTACTCTGCGCATCATTATGCCCCTCGGCATCAGCATCATTGTCATTACTCATCGGTCCCAGACTACTACTGCCGGTCATCTCACCACTCACCGGCAAACCGATATCGCCCAGAGCGTTAATCTCGATCTCCTTCTCACTACTCCCGGAGGTCCTTTTCTCCAGGGACCCCAAGAACCCTAGAACGCTCTCGCCGTTATGACACTCGTGGAAGATACTCTTCCAGGCGCTCTCCGAGTCCATACCGCAGACATCATTACGACCGACGTTGTTATGACCACCACTCTCCCTGAGACAGACGACGTCTCCACTCGCGCTCACCACAATCCAGCCGGACTCTATCTCCACAGCCATTGGTACAATCTTCATCTTCAGCTGCTCCACTGGCTCCGGCGGAGGACTCAGCATCCGTCTATCAGGGGGGTGACCACACACATCAGGACCATCAAAGCCTGGCTTCGCCGGCTCCCAACTCCCCTGTATCACCTGATGATGCCTTGGGACCTGGGGACTTGTCTGAGGACCATAGACAGTTCCAGGAGCTTTTCAAGAGGGTAGCCCAGTCCCAAGAGATCCAGATGACGGACGTGCAACAAAAGCAGCATCGGCTGTTGATGAACCTGCAACTGTCCCAGAAGTCAAAGATGGCTTTTCCCTTTGACGAAGCCATTCTAGAGATTGCCAATGACGTCTAGCAGACCCCAGCTACATCCCTGGCAACTAATAAGAAATCAGACAAGAAGTACTTTATAAATCAAAAGGGGATGGACTTTTTATTTACGCACCCTCAACCCAACTCCCTCGTGGTGGACGCGGCACAACAGAGGTGGAAGACTCCTCAGGCCAAAAATGCAGCAGCTGACAAAGAAGCTAAGCGCCTTGATCTCCTAGGCAAGGTGGTTTACTCTTCAGCCACCGCATCCTTAAGAATGTGCAATTATGCAGCGCAACTGGCAAATCACGACTTCGAGAATTATGCTAGACTGGTCCCCCTATTTGAGCAGTTGCCGGATTCTAAACGCCAGATTTTGAAGGCGGTGATACAAGAGGGTTACACCATTGCCAGGACGGCGCTGCAGATAGCGCTTGACACAGCTGATGCAGCTTCTCGAGCTACAGCTACGGCCATAGTCATGCGCCGAGTGTCATGGTTACACCAATCTGTGGTGCCAAAAGACATGCAGTCTAAGGTGGAGGACCTACCATTTGATCGGCAGTCACTTTTTGCTCAATCCACCGATCAGGTCTTCCACTCAGGCAAGGACACGCGCACAACTTTGAGAACGCTGGGCATGTACACGCCTCCTTATAAGCGCAAGAGATACACGCCCTATAGCAAGCAAAGACCATTTTCTTATGCTGCACCTCAGCCCAGACCTTTTGAACAACTACAACAAAGACCTAGGCAGCGCCCTCAAAAGCGTCGACAACGCTTTAGCAAGGCGCCTGTTCAGCAACAAGGTCGGCAGCAAGTTTGATGGGCTGGTCGAGGGACTCTGCACCATCCCCTTGATAGAGACTCCACACAATGTGCAAGGCTTGTTCCATCATCGCCTGAGACCTTATCAACATCGTTGGTCTCATATATCCACCGACCGGTGGGTCCTCGACATAGTTGCCACAGGATACCTCATTCCCTTCAACTCTCTCCCTCCCCCTTCTCCTCCCTCCCCCTCCCTTTTCAGGGACCCTTCTCACGAGAACCTGTTACGACAGGAGGTTTTCCACCTCCTCTCCTTAGGAGCGGTGGAGACAGTACCAGCACAGTTTCGCGGGAGAGGGTTTTACTCCCGTTATTTCCTCACCCAGAAGAAGTCAGGGGGTTGGAGGCCTATCCTGGACCTACGTCAGCTCAACCGCTACTTGCGGAAGCAGAGATTCAAAATGGTCACGTTGTCTGCCATCATTCCGGCCCTCGAAGAGGGGGATTGGTTCGCTTCCCTCGACCTGCAGGATGCCTATTTCCACGTAACAATTCACCCGACTCACAGACGATTCCTTCAGTTTGTGGTAGGAGTCGACCACTACCAATACCGAGTACTACCCTTCGGCCTCTCGGTGGCTCCACGAGTTTTTTCCAAGACCCTTGCAGTGGTGGCGGCTTATCTTCGCCGTCTCAACATCACCATTTTCCCGTACCTGGACGACTGTCTACTAAAGGCCCCCACCTTCGACGAAGCTATGTGGGCTGTCACCACTACTACCAGGATATTCAAAGCTCTCGGTCTCGTAATCAACGCCGAGAAGTCTTTTCTCATTCCGAATCAAGATCTGGAGTTCATTGGGGCGAGACTAGATTCCTCAACTGCAAGAGCATACTTGCCCATGAAAAGGTTTCATCTGATTCGAGATTTGGTACAGACCAGTTCAATTTCCCCCAAATCTCGAATACTTACCTGCCTACAGCTCCTAGGACATATGGCGGCTAACACGTCCGTAATTCCTCATGCAAGGCTTCATCTCCGTGGCCTCCAACATTGGCTATTCACGGTGTACAACCCCGGCATACACAGCATGAACAGGGCAGTCTCTATCCCAAACCAGGTCAGGACCTCACTGATATGGTGGGGCGACGCCAAAAACATGTTGCTAGGAGTCCCCTTCCAGGCTCGGAGACCATCCCTACAAATCACAACAGACGCGTCTCTGCTCGGCTGGGGTGCTCATCTACAGGACAGCCAAGCGCAGGGCCTCTGGACTCCCCAGGAGTCTCTGCTACACATAAACTTCCTCGAGCTTCGAGCGGTCTTCAACGCCTGCAGGAATTTTGTCCACATCATTCGTGGCCAATCAGAACAGATCCTCACTGACAACATCTGCACGGTATATTACATCAATCGGCAAGGGGGTGCGCGTTCCCACTCCCTTTGCGCAGAGGCAGTCCGCCTCTGGAATTGGGCGATCCGTCATGGGGTCACCCTGACGGCAGCTTACCTTCCTGGCAAATTTCTTCTCCCAGCACGAATGGGAGTTACACACGGGAGTCACCCGCCACCTCTTCCAGCGATGGGGCTTCCCAAAGATAGATCTCTTCGCCACTCGCAGCAACAGGAAATGTCATCAGTACTGTTCTCGGGTGGGCACCGGAGCAGGCTCCTTAGGGGATGCCTTCCTACTGGACTGGAGCCATCACCAGTTGTTGTACGCATTTCCCCCTCTACCGCTTATCCCGAGGGTGCTGGAGAAGATAGCGGCAGACCAGGCAACAATAATATTAATAGCACCCTTCTGGCCCCGGCAGACATGGCTAACTCGGCTGTCAAGAATGTCGGTCGTCGAACCGATACGGCTACCGGTACTGTTCAATTTACTATCTCAACAGCACGGCACGATGATCCACCCATGCATCGATCGCATGCACCTGATGGCGTGGCTCCTAGCTGGCTCCAAGGGTTGGAATTCACGTGTTCTCACGAAGTGAGACATGTACTAATTAACAGCAGACGCAGCACCACGCGCAAGACTTACCTGCAGAAATGGTGTCGTTTTCAAGCTTGGTGTGTGGCACGGGATCTCGACCCTCTCTCGCTGCCTATCCAACAGGTTTTGGATTATATTTTGTACCTGAAGACGACAGGGTTGGCATGTTCTTCCCTCAGAGCGCACTTAGCGGCGATCTCCGCTTTCCTCCGGCCTGTTGGCGGTTATTCACTGTGTGCACACCCCTCACCAAGAGGTTTTTTAAGGGCCTGGACAATCTATATCCAGCTCATAGGATTCCTCCGAAGCCATGGGACTTGGCGTTAGTATTGGACACTATCACTCGCCCTCCTTTCGAACTGTTAG